ATTGATTTGCTCCTTTTTAGAGTCTTTCCTCTTACTGGCTGTGTGCACACTGAGAGGCTAGCTTGTAAGAGAGCTTCTTATTTTGTGTCAACCTAATGTTTTGTAGGTTACCCCACATACAAAGAAAAAGTGAAGAAGCGACCAGGTGGGAGGCCTGAGGTGATTTACAATTATGTCCAGAGGCCATTCATTCGCATGTCATGGGAAAAGGAGGAAGGAAAGAGTCGACATGTTGACTTTCAGTGTGTAAAAAGCAAATCTATTACAAATCTAGCAGCAGCTGCAGCAGATATTCCCCAGGACCAGCTTGTGGTAATGCACCCCACACCACAAGTGGATGAGCTAGATATTCTGCCTATTCATCCTCCACCCAACAACAACGATGTGGATCCTGAGGGGCAAAATCCAGGACTCTGATCCAGACTTACTCAAACAGAAGCATGCTACTTTAAAAGGTGACTGTACTCAACTCATACTACACTGCAATTCCTGCTTTTCTTCATTGTGTAACAAAGTGTTTAGGATATTGCAGTATGGACTCTTTTAAAGACCAAAGGAGTATCTGATCATAATTTTAAAGAGTACAACTCTAACCTGAGGTTCCAGTTACATACGTGTATTTGTTTACCAGTAGGCTTGTGACATTGGTTATTTGTATGCTGGACTCTCCTCGCTCTAGGCCCATCAAAACAATGGGATCTGGTGGGTAGTTTCAATAATATTGTTACGCAGTGGGTAAGAAGCAGAACTGATAGTAGCACTTTAAATGGTTGATAACTAGAATTCTCAAAGCCATTTTTTTATAAATGTTGCACAATGCTAACTTAAACAAAGTGCTTCTATCAAAGTCTGTCTATTCAGTTACATGTAAATAACTTGCTCTGAATAGATTGACCCTTTTAAATGTATTGCATATGGCCTAGCACAAAACAAGTCCTTCCCACAGGGGTTTTTGGATTGAGGGCAATTCAATTACCCATGTAACATCTTGGTCAACTCCAATTTCTTCAGTGAATTTTTTTCACTTGTTTGCAGCTTGAGCCATCTTCAGGGGTCGTGAACAACTGTTAGGGGCTTTATCTTAAATTTTGCCTTACCTTAATCTGTTCACAGAACTATTTATTTACTAAATTTTTCATAAGTGTTGTGGATTAAGAAAATGCAAATGGTTCGCTCTTCAGTTATTAAATGATTGTAATTGTAAACTCAAGGTTCATTCAAATAAAGTTTCCATTATTTTAACCTGCTTCTAATAAATTCAGGGGGGCATGAGTGGTGAATTTTATAGTACAGAATTTCCAGTGGCTCCTCCCTTCTTGCCTTGAAGCAAGGAGGAAACGTTAAGGACTGAAATAACACTGTATAGATTTCCTTTTCTCTTCAGATTTCAGGCACTGAATGGAACTTAAAAAAAGCAACAGTGCTAAACTTTTTTCCTATTTGAGTAAATTGATATACGTGCACATATGATGCATGCAACTAAGCTAACAAAATAACCTAGCACAGCTACCAATTTAAGTGCGAGAGAGAAGGTTCAAAGCAATGAGGTAAAGTTTAAACGTTTAGAGTGAACATGTTTATTCTCCCCCCCCCCACCCCCCAAATTATAAAAAAAAGTGGTAGGCAATCAAATAGGTTCTAGCATATTTTTTTTTAAGCAGGGTTTTATCAAATTTATTTTATCAAAGTAAATGCTCCATTTTAGAACAAGGGAAACATTTATTTTTAAAAATATTTAACTGTCTAATACATTACACTTTAACAATATTTATAGTAAAGGATTCTTACAAGAAAGAATAAACAGCTTTATGATACAATTAGTATAAGAAATATCCACATGGGGACTTTTTTGTAGTGTAAAAACACACCATACATCTGAAATGAACATTTGCATATAAAAGCTACCAATGATGCCAGTGCCAAGTCTCACAATGATTTTTTTTAAAAAAATCCAAAATATACAAGTAATGCAAGCTATACACAGCTAACCAAATCAATGATGCAAAAACACTGTAGCGGGTTTCTCCACTTTGTCTGAAATTACACAAGGTAGGATGAGTTCTGATATGGCTTTTATGAAATTCAGACATAAAAGCTTCTCATAATCCAACAAGTTTCACAGACGGTAGAACTCCACCAATAAATGCACTTTGATATTCAGCTGTTGAAGCAATGTGTGGTATTTACAAGGGCCATGGTAAATCGCTAAAATCTACAGGGCCACCGAGACCTGCATCTGCTTCCAAAAGGCTCATTATAACTGCCATTGCTGCTTCATCGTTGCTGGGGCTGCTTGATCCTTGGTCATTGTCTATCATATCTATGCTTATGTGAGAGTTCTCCCCTGTGAAAGTAATACAAGGAAATTGAAGTAAAGGATGTGATTATATTGGCTTGCTTCTATTTAGAAAAGTTGGCAGATTGGAAGTGACTGCTCAGAAAAAATGTCAGCTCAAATCAAGGAGGTTAGACAAAAGAATGCCTGACTATTCTGCTATCAAACCCATTCCCTGGCTCAGGATGCAGCTGGAACCTGATTTCTGACC